GCTTTGACTTTAAACCAGATTTTATCAAGATCGTCATACACATGCATGAATGTATATCCCGCTGATATACCGAATTTTTGGCGGTGGTGTGCAGTCAATATTGATCAATATAGTCCTCAGCGTACACTCACGATGTAAAGCAGAGAAAAATAACGAAAATTCGTATACGCCCTTCGCCATGTTGGTCGCATGGTTAACATGACCTAAAGGAAGGCAAGGTCAAAGGATCGTGGCATGGCGTAGCGAACTCTATAGAGAGGAAGAATAGCATATAGATATATGGTGCATATATCGGAAATCGATGCGTACTGCCTGTTGCCACATCGCATACGTATTTGTCCGATTTCATAAATGTATGTATGGCGCATCGCGTTCTTTCTGTCTCTCACGCATGACCTATGACATCACGTATGACAACTCGCGGTGATTTCTCCTCAATATTCGTTTTGAAAATTAAATACATTATTGTTGAGCCTACCTTTCCTTATTAGCTGCCTGTTTATATTTTAGCTGAAAAATAGAAATATTATATTTTTTGTAGCAAAAATAACGCGTTTTATATTCATTTATATGCAACTAAATTTGTTAATTAGAATATTACAAACTTAAATAAATATATTGTTTAAAATAAATATTTTTTCGAGAATAATTATGAATTATAAATATACATATAATTTTTCTGAAGTATGAAGAAATCTAATTGTAAGAGGTAACTGCAAGCTTTTATTTGGTATTTCTTTTATGGAGAGAAAATCATGAAAGTTGGTACGTAGTACAATATAATAATAAATATAATAAAAATACAACGCAAAATATTTCCATATAATGCAAAAAGATGCTTTGACTTTAAACCAGATTTTATCAAGATCGTCATACACATGCATGAATGTATATCCCGCTGATATACCGAATTTTTGGCGGTGGTGTGCAGTCAATATTGATCAATATAGTCCTCAGCGTACACTCACGATGTAAAGCAGAGAAAAATAACGAAAATTCGTATACGCCCTTCGCCATGTTGGTCGCATGGTTAACATGACCTAAAGGAAGGCAAGGTCAAAGGATCGTGGCATGGCGTAGCGAACTCTATAGAGAGGAAGAATAGCATATAGATATATGGTGCATATATCGGAAATCGATGCGTACTGCCTGTTGCCACATCGCATACGTATTTGTCCGATTTCATAAATGTATGTATGGCGCATCGCGTTCTTTCTGTCTCTCACGCATGACCTATGACATCACGTATGACAACTCGCGGTGATTTCTCCTCAATATTCGTTTTGTGAATTTTTTCGCGTTTTATTGATCATCTTGATGTGGATAATGACTTAGTTTCCTTAAATGGGAAAAAATCATGATTATATAAATCGCGAAACTTACAGTAAATGTCGATCTTTTGAGCCATATGTGCCAATGTTTTCTTTGCAATAAAAACTCGTAAAACAAATGTAAATATATATGATATTTTTTGACATTACTAATTATATAATAAAAAAAAAATATATATATATATTGCAACAACTAGAGCGAAATATCTGTACGTTGATCCGCATTTCTTAATAGATTGTTGCAAGAGTAGTCTGCGCTCAAAAGTTGCTCGATCGAAACTATCGAAGAAGATTCGAAAGAGAGGATAGGCGTCGCGCGGGTTTCAGGAGGTCCCTT